AAAAAATGTAAAACAAACAAACTAACAAAAGTGGCAAATGAAGTTGCCATTGAGAAACATCATTTTCACTAAACCATGACTGACCAATTTCATGTGATTGAGGGTTTCCATGAAATTTCACTTTTAAAAGTATTTTTTGGTTTAGTGGTTATTTTTATGTTGAAACTTCTTTTCCCTTATTTACAAAGCATGAAGTGTCAATGCTGAAAATGGGCATTTTGACAATAATTCTTTCTCCAACATTAGATATTGTGAAACTTAGCAGCATTCTTGGTCTTCCCCCAATTGTTTTTTAAAAATTTGTATTTCTTTGAAAGAAGTCAGGTTTCTGAACATGAATTTGTTATGCTTCATCTGATTCTCATTTTAGAGTCTTTGATTACCTTGCTATGCCTGTATGAGGCAAAGAAATGCTACATTTTCATTTAAGAGTACCAGAGCTTCATGAACTGATAGATTTAGCACTGTATGAACACAGAACATGAAGAAAACTGTAGTATGTGTAAGGGTACTTATACCTCTTTGTATCTGTGCAGCACAGTTGAACTACTGGCCTGCAGAAATATATAGGGCACTTTCCCAGCTTTCAAAACAAGCCTGCCATGGGACTGAATGCAAACAACCTCAAACCTAAAATAATATCCGAGTATATCTACCTTTTACCAATCATTTAACTCAAAGTGGGCCAAACCCCACTTTGACCACTACCTGAGGAGCAGCTGTCAGTGTGTAGCTCCCCAGGTAGTCTTCCTGAACCCACGTCTTGGGTTCAGTTATCAGAGACCCCATCCTGGGATACCAGTGGGACTAAACCCCAGAAAACCCACGATGACTCATATTGTGAATTATAGGGTATTACTCCATAGCTCTAATTTTTTACCCTGGTGGGCCGTGAGCCACTGAAAACTGCTGCCCTGTATCACCAATGACAAACCTTAACTTCTTGCTTCTTAATCCATCAAATCCATACTCAGAGTGACAAAACGTTGTGATTCAACCGAGTGGGAGTCTATG